TTACGTGTGCACTTCATCCAGATATTTGAAATTTTATTTTTTGTCCATATCTCATTTGAGCAGAATGGTAATACATGAATTTTGCTCTAAAGATAGCCATGTTGTTTTAAATATTTTTAACAATCATACATTAATAAATTCCTTTTATTTTGACAAATTCAGTGTTTCCTTGTCCCTGACGCCATTTTCAATTGACAATTAACTTTTCTTAATAGAAGTTAAACAAATGCTGATATAGGCCTACTGTGTATATTTTCGTATACTTTCCTTACACCCCTTAAAATCAAGAGGGCCTTGTGACCTCCCATGAAGCTTTCCCAGGTTGGGAGCCACTGTTTTACATAATCAGATGCTGACTATATGGTTGTAAACACACACCCTTAATGTGTTTGTACAATGTGTGAGGCATTCTGGTTGATTTCATATGATCTCTGTGGTCATGGCAGGTTGCTGATGATGGTTATGGGGTCTCATACATCATTGTGGGGGAGGATATGATCAACTTCCATGTGTCCTCCAAGTACTCTTGCAGTGAGACTGTAAGTAAAGGCTTTGTTACCTTCACATATAAGGTGTTAATTGTTAAATTTAAACACAACTGGCATGATGACATATTTTATATATTTATCATATATATATATATTATATATAAAATGTTTAAATGTTCTGGTAGTTCACATTTTGCTTCAAAGTTGCGCACAGTATCAGCGTCATACAGGGAGGAATTCTTCCCTGCTTGTAGGGACATGCAGGACGATGAATGCAGCTTACTTAATGTAAGATTTATCTTCTTATTGAATAGTACCATCTTGAGTTTCCTCTCTAGACTGGTTGATAGCATGGTGGTGAGACACTGGCTTTTAGGAAATTAGGGAAGGCTGCATCACTACGAAATTCACTCTAAAACCATAAAGCACATGACAGGAAAGGAGAAAATTGTACTGTCCTTTGTCTGGTTTCACTTCCCTTTTCAATATTATTGTGGAATCCTGCATTCATGAATGGAGTTACACCAGTAAGTCCGCCAGGTTGATCATTTAGCCAATATTAGCTTGTTGCAGACATAATTGTGTCTCTTAAACTGTCAAACATCTATATCAGTAATCAGAAATCCAGAATTCTCATGGCTCAGCTCAAGTTAATAACGTATAACCCACTTCCCCTTTCTGTCCACATCCTGTCGTCTCTTCCTCCTTTCTTTCCCTCTCTTCCCTTTTCACTACCATCCTTTTAATTCTTGATTTTTTTTTTTCCATTTTAGGACTCCCACAGGTTTGGAGCTCAGATAAGTAAAGCTCTCCAGGACATAATGACTCTCCTCTCAGCTGACACCAAAACCTCCTTGTCCTCCAAAGGCGCAGCGCAGCCTCAGGCCAAGAAGCTCCTCTGAACCCCACAAGAAATAAACCCTAAATAACCCATCGTCAAGGTCCCGTCATTTTTAAAATTGCAACCTATTACATAGCATAAGACAAAAGCATTAATTATACAGACGTGAATTTAAGGAGTAAAATCAAAGAGAGATTCCATGGCAGTCACATAGCTTTTGGGTCCTGTTCAGACACGACAGAAACAAAAATGTGAGGAGCCCTGTCGTATTAAACGGGTCATCTATGGTGCCAACTTTTAACCCCACATACCTGCATTAGAGGACTGCTGCGCCTTACCCGGGTGTTATGATTTGCATTCTTCTGTTTTGTAACATGGAGCTAAAAGCCTTTCTAGATAAGAGGATGCACATGTTTATTACAAGTCAGCTAGACCAGTGGTTCCCAGCCCCTGAAACCTTATCTATCGTTTAGTAAACTGACGACCCCTGTTTAGGTGACATATTGTATGGTGTTTTTTTAGGAAGTTTAGGAAACTTTTTATACAATTATCTACATATCTATTTTCGATTATCTATCTATTATGTTTTTTGTTTTTTTTGACAAGCACACACGCTTAATAGGCTTCTTTTTTGACAGTTTCAGAGTTTTCTTGTCCCTGATGCTTGGCCTTTCAACTGAGACTATTTACTTTCTTTTAAAGAATTGAACCAAATGCTCAGATATAGGCCTACTGTGTAAGTTTTCTAGCACATTTTGAGAATAACAAGACCTCACAACCCCATATGAAGCTTTAGCACCCCCCGGTTTGGGAACCACTGAGCTAGACGACACGTGAACATGTAAAACCGCTTCCAATCCCTGCTTTCTCTGAGAATATGAAACCTGCAATGGCCGATTTTTAAGAAAGAGGGAGCAAAGGTCATCACTTAAGAAGGATGTCTTTAGCAGTAAGAAGCAAAGAAAGAGAGACAAATGTCGCTGACAACAGGCGGACAGCATTAAGAGACTCTAAATCTCAATAAAAGTGAAGGGGAAAATGTTCTTTTAGATGCTGTGCAGCAGTTCGGGGTTAGATAGGGCCCGTCGGACGTCACTGCAAAACTCAAGAACAAAAGGAGGTTAAAGAAGTTGTAGCCACATTTTATTGTCATTTAATTTGATGTATGAAATGGGACTAGAGGTTTATAAACTAGACGATGAAAGTCCCACTCTAATCTGTAGGAATAAATATTCTTCCACCCAATGTTCAGGGTTACTTTCACCTATCGCCTGATCTCAGGATAAGCCACAGCCGGAATCAGTAGTTAGCTGCTAATGTCTTACATCTTTAATGACAGACAGAATGTGTCTGAATGTGTACTGTGGTTTTTATACGACACCTGCTAAGAGCTAAAAAAAAATAGTATGCCTTTCCATAGTGAGAGGCCCTGTGGAGTTTTTAACCATAGCTACCCCTAGGATTGCCATAGCACCAGCCTAGCACCCCCAAGAAATATCTGTGGCTTCTTTAGATTTTTTTCATTTTAAAAGTGTGAATACTATAATTCATAATCTGAAAAATGAATAGATACATTAACAAAACAAACCGATCTTTTTTAGATTAAAAAACACATGATGATCGATCTGATTCTGTCAATGGGTGCAGCACGCACTTAACCTTTAAACTTACGTCCACTTCCTTTGCTACCGTCATATTGAAACCTGAATTATGGGGTTGAGTAACCCCAAAGCATTAGCAACAGAAAATCCCTGGTTTTCTTTTTCACTGCCATTGCTGGCACATAGCTGTGCTTCTTTGAGTCAACACGGTCCAAGGAAATAATAGTGTGGAACAGAGACCTACTTGTAAACACTTCTCTCCATGCCGCTACTGTTTTTATTTTAACTCCTTTAAAGCCAACTGTTAGCATGCTTAGAGCATATCTTTAACCCGCTCAGACTGCTCTGGTGACATTGGGCCTGATAATCAATCAGATTATTAAAAATAATTCATTGTAATTTTAATTAATTGGATTTAATGTTCTAAATCTTCAAAGTAACCAGTAACTACAGTAAAAGGTACAATATTTTCCTCTGAAATGTAGTGGAGTAGAAGTATTAAGAGCAAAAATGACTAATATAAAGTATCTCTAATATTTACTTATGTGAAGTAATTTCACAACTGGTTCAGTTGTTAGGTTGTGAACTTGGGAGCAGTGTTGTAAAACTATAAGTAGTGAGTGATGTCTTTTAATTAGTAGCTCTATCTGTTATAATTGAGGGTTACTGTGTCCCAATTGGAAGGCTGCCAACTCCCCGGCGCTTTGTGTAACAACGCTGTGTTCAAAAAAAGAGTCATGGGAACACAGGATTCACAGTGATGTTGACATTTTATTCATTGCGGTACATAGTTTTAATTTAGATTTACACACTTCCATTACGTTCTCTGATGCACTAATGTTTTGAATATTTGACAATCCAATCAAAGGCTTTGTGCTGACCGAGATCAGGTGGTAACTCACAATGTAACCCTGGGTGTTGTCTTCCTAGCCATGTGTAGGAAGGAAGCAGGAAAGGGTGGGAGAAGGTAAATGAGCGCAAATGACTTTTCCGTTTTGTTTGTTTTACTTTCTCAATTCAGTGGATTGCTTAATTAAGGAGTGGCTCTTTTAGGTCAAATGTGTCAGCTTATCAGACACAGTTGTGTTTTACTGCTGTTGAATAAAACGCACCTTGAGTGTATTCTCTCCGTCACTGAGCCAGTTATTAGTTAATAATTATTTGTTATTTGGGTCACTCCACCTTAGCTTGCATTTGTTTTCACTACAGCTGACAGCTGCGGCCTCAGGGAGCGGAGCAACAGTTCTCATCTCACCATAACATTACTTAAGCCAGAGCCCATAAATAACAGTGTCTTGCACATACAATTCACAATTATCAATAGCAAATGTAAATCAACTATCTTTCTCAGCTCTGATTGGTTGTTTTTGTTCAGGCCCGGTGGTTCCTTCAAATGCCATTACGAGCACTAGGAGGAGCCAGATTTTTTTCACAGATTTTCAAAATATTTTTATAAAAATTACCTACTGCAGCTTTAAGTGCATCAAATGCAAAAGGCCAAACCAATTACGTGCCTCAGTCTACTCCACTGTGCAGCAATAGCACTAGCATTTAGCAGCAGGTTTACAGTTTGCTTTGTGTTAGGACTAAAGGTTAATATTAAGATTAGCACGGTCTTTTCTTACTGACTTGATTTTGGGATACATTTGTATTGTGTTTTTTTATCTGTGTAACTACTGTTTCTGCTCTTGGTTAATAGTTGATGATTGAACGTTTTTAATTAATTTGTGGGAATTGTAGTTTTTTTAATTATATAATATCCAATGTTTACTGATTTTACACTCCAAAAATGCTCATTATTACTGTGTTTTTTGTCAGTAGTTTTGATTCTAAAGCTTATTTAAATGTAAATGTAGAAAGTTGTGGAAGGCTTTTTACAGATGGTGATGGTGTGTTATGTGAAATAAAAATCTTACTGACTGTACAGTGCATCTGCCTGTGATCTGTTTATCATTGAAGTCAAGTAGTGGTTAAGCCAGTGGTTTCCAACTTTTTTTCCTTAAGGGGCCCCTTAAAAAGGCAGTTTTTCCTTGCCCCTGTTACGAAGGTCTTGCTCATGGTGGTACTGTTGGGTCTCTGTAAATGTTATAAGGAGTTCGGT